TAGACAACAAAAAAAAAATAAATAAAAACAAATAAAGAATGCATTTTTCACTGAACTTATTCAACCTATACAGCAAGGCAATTCTGAGAGAACTAGAAGTTTTACCAGGATTCATTGTTGGCACCCACAATTTTAACAAAATAAGAAATGTAGATGACACATTTGATAGCAGACATGGAAATAAAACTAAAACAATCATTTCATGAATTTACTTGTGATGTCCTTTGGATTGATATTCTTAATCATCCTGTTATTAAATGTACCACTGAGGTCACTTCCTGGATGCCAGCATGGAAAAACGAAATAAAACCACAATTGTCTTCTTAGTTCTTTCCTACCTGTTCAGCTGCTATAGCCCACAGGAATCACTTCATCCGGCTATACAAGAGCAACATGCATGATTGTAACAGATGTCTCTTATTGCCGCTCGTAATGAATGTAAGCATGTCTTCATAGAGGCAAAGCCACTATTCACTGACAGAATGAGACACTGTATAGCCTCTCGCACATTTGGTTTGAGAGATTACTGACAGATCTGCTAGAGTGAATTGAACAAGAGCAAAAATACTCAGTCCTTTCTCTCCTTAATCAATTTGAAGTGTTGTCATCTATTGCAGAGTGCTTTTCCTGAAAATTCCCTTCCAATTCCAATCACAACTCATCTGGAGTATATCTTCCATATACCCCTCGTGCTAGAAAAAAGTGTTTATATACATATAACACCATCCATAGCTTCTGCTATCATTTCTAAACTAGATTCCCACAAGTCTTGTGGATTTGACGGTATTCCTACAAATTGTCCAAAAGAAATGTGCTCTTGAACTGATTCCTGTTCTCTCCAAACTTTACAATAAATGCTTTGCTGCTTCTTGTTTTCCAACTTGTTAGAAGACCTCCTCTATAATTCCTATCATTACGAACTCTGGGGAATAATCTGACCCCTCAAATTATTGCTCCATTAGTCTCTTATCTCTTTTTTGGTGAACTATTAGAGGCTCTAATCAACACCAAATTGGTTAAGCAACTTACTTCTCAAAATCTCCTTCAAGATGAGCAATATAGCTTCTGTTTCTCCAGGTTTACCACTGATGCCATCACTGAATTTGTCTATCAAGCTTTAGATAAGAACAGCAAAGATGTTTGACAGGGTTTGGCTTTCTGGCCATTTCGACAAGCTCAATGGACAAATATTTGGCCTAACCCAATTGTTCCTAACAAATCATATAATGAAAGTCATGTTGAATGGATATGCTTCTAGTTCATTTCATATTAATGCAAGGGTCACACAGAGCTCTATCCTTGGACCTATGCTGCTTCTGATCTTCATAAACAACCTTCCGCATGTCATCAGTTCCCAACCAGGTGTCTTTGTACATAACACACTTATCTACTCCTGTTTTAGTAGCAAGTCCGACAGCTCCGACAATGTAAAACTGTCAACTTCTCTCAAAAAGGACAACCAATTGGGGCAAGGAATGGCTTGTAAATTTTAACACATCCAAAACAAAACTGTTTTTATTTAATCACCATAGAGAAGCTTTTCTACCTGCTATAAACATGGCTGATGCTAAACCACAAGAGAGCAACACTTTGTGTCTTCTTGGGCTCACAGTTTTCATTGAAATGATGTGGAACAATTAGAATGAATCACTTGCTAAGTCTACTGCTAGGAAAGTTGGTTTGCTGTGTTGTGCTAGACAATTCTTCTCATCATGATCTCTCTTGCACATTTATAAATCTACCAGTCATCTGAGCAATGAATATTGCCACTATATCTGGTCTGGTTTTACAAATATATATCTTGAGATTCTGGCCAAATTTCAATGAAATTTCTGTAATGCAATTGATCCTGCCCTGGTATCTTGACTTTAGCCACTTTCTCACTGGTGTGATATGGCTTCCCTCTGTCTTTTCTACAAATATTTTCATGGCAACTGTTCTGATAAGCATTTTTTCATTAGTACCTCGAGTGCATGAATTTAAGTGTGCTTCAAGATTAATAACTATGTCTCACCATTTTACTACTGAACTACCTAGATGCAACCATCAATTCTATTATAATAGTTTCTTTTCTCACACTTTTTGCCTGTGGAAATCCCTTCCAATTTCTTGATTCCCTGTCTCCTACAATCTCCAAAAACTTAAATAAAATGTAAATCATCATCTTCTGTCTTCCTGAATACAGTTCCTTTATTGTCCTATCCTCATTTTCATTAAAGTCTTTTTCATTCTCTTTCAATCCCAGTAGCACCTTGTATCTTAATGGCATTATCACCTTGATTGGGATGAATAGAGGAGTAGAGGTTTATCCCTTGTTTCCTCTTTAGGATTGGGTTTCTGGTTCCTTCTAAAGTCTTTTTCATTCTTTTTCACTCCCAGTAGCCACTTGCGTTTTAGTGGCATTATCACCTTGATTGGGATGAATAGAGGAGTAGAGGTTTATCCCTTGTTTCCAGTTTAGGATTGGGTTTCTGGTTCCTTCTAAAGTCTTTTTCATTCTCTTTCACTCCCAGTAGCCACTTGCGTTTTAGTGGCATTATCACCTTGCTTGGGATGAATAGAGGAGTAGAGGTTTATCCCTTGTTACCTATTTAGGATTGGGTTTCTGGTTCCTTCTAAAGTCTTTTTCATTCTCTTTCACTCCCAGTAGCCCCTTGTATCTTAATGGCATTATCACCTTGCTTGGGATGAATAGAGGAGTAGAGGTTTATCCCTTGTTTCCTCTTTAGGATTGGGTTTCTGGTTCCTTCTAAAGTCTTTTTCATTCTCTTTCACTCCCAGTAGCCCCTTGCATCTTAGTGGCATTATCACCTTGATTGGGGTGAATAGAGGAGTAGAGGTTTATCCCTTGTTTCCTGTTTAGGATTCAGTTTCTGGTTCCTTCTAAAGTCTTTTTCATTCTCTTTCACTCCATGTAGCCTCTTGCATCTTAGTGACATTATCACCTTGCTTGGGGTGAAACTCTTTAAAAAAAAATTCTGAACAAGTTGCATGTAATCCCTATGAGAGTCTAGATCTGAGGGTATTTAAGAAATGATTTGGGTTTTGGGCCTTCAACAGACATATATGGTTTGTTGATTGATGCACTTCCTCCATCAGATCAAAGCATTCAGTGGAAGTCTGGAAGACATTTTCCAATATAAGATCTACCTGAAAAGTAACAGACTGATGTCAGAAACATTTCAATTCCAAAGAACAAATTACCTGATTTTCTCTTCAACGTAACTCCTCTCAACTCTAATGCATTTTCCCATCTTTCTTTGCCACATTTCTATGCACGACTGATAGGACTCTTCTTGGATGCCCAGCAACTCCCTCATTACAGCTCTCTTGATGGCCTCCATGCCTTCAAAATGGGTACCTATGGTGATCTCCTTGAGCCTTGGGGAACAAAAAAAGTCACATGTAGTAAGATCATGTGAATAGAGGAGTTGTTCCACTACAGTGATGTTCTCCACCAGGAACTGTCAAATACTCAGAACATTGTGAGCAGATGCATTGCCCTGGTGAAGCAGCCATGATTTGTCCTGCCACAACTCTCATCTCTTCTTGCACACTGAATGAAGCAAATGCTACTGGATCTCTTTATAGACTTGCTGATTGATCGTCTGGCTCTGTGGCAAGAACTCACTGTAGACAATGCCTTTCTATTTAGATGTGAAGATCTTTTCATGAGAAAAAAAAATTTTAATCAAAAAAAAAAAAATTATAGAATTATAAGATTTTTCAAAAATTTCAGAAAAAAAAATTGAATTATCAAAAATAAATATATTATAAAAATACAAAATTTTCAAAACCAATGTTAAATAAGTAAACATTTTTATTTTAATCTTTTCACCTCCAAGCAAGAAAATAAAGCCACTAAGACAAAGGAGGGTTACGGAGTGTGAAAGAAAAAAGTGATACGTTATTAAGGAGCAAGAACAACAAAAGAGTAATTGTGGTAACCTAGGGAAGGTTACTGAACAGAATAATCAAAACGAAGGTTGGTAATGAACAATAATACTTAGGACAAGAGCAACACATATAAGATTCGCCAGTGGCACATAGAAGAAGTAATCAACTGGTGAGTCAAATTAATTCCACAATGAATCTTCAACTGCAGGATATCTACCAAATGTCCCATGTGGTCAGATGTGGCACAAGGCCAAATTTAATATGAGATATCTGAGCCCATAGGCTCAGTCAAAAATTCCCCGTAGATCCTGTATAAAACGGGGTCGGGTACTTGTTTCTTGAGACAAGACTCTGCCTTTCAACATAGAGGCAGAGAGTTTGCCCAGCACAGCTGGAGACGAATCTTCATCTGCACGCCAATGTACAGTATTTACTATTGTATTTATGTGTATAGGGACATACCCATTATTGCCTGTAGGTATGCTACAATAGTAATCAAGAAGATAGTAGATAACGACTGATAATGAATTTAAAAATGAAGAGACCTAACTGTCAATCTTGTACTGCACTTAAATTCATAGTCATTTTACTCATAAAAACAGTAAAATCATTTCAACTCTTCTTTTTTATAATAATATATTAGAATATTTTAATTAAATTAAAAAAAATCATTTATAAAATGAAGTGACAGGGATATTTCAATGACTGACATTGAATTTAAAAATGAAGAGACCTAACTGCCAATCTAGTACTGCACTTAAATTCATAGTCATTTTACTCATAAAAACAGTGAAATCATTTCAACTTTTCATTGCTCATTTCGGTTTACTTTTCTGAAATTTATCAACAGTTATACAGTTGATTTTTTTTATCAGTTTTCAAAATGTTCCATTGAAATTGAAGAATATCAAAGATTATTCTAACCAAAATGCCAATGCTGATCAAAAAACAACTTTTTTCTTTTAAAGAATTGTTTTTTTAACATTTTTGTTCCATGAACCCAAAATGATTTCTTACACTGCTTTTTGTCTTTTATCTGAGAGATTAAAATCTGGTTTCAAACAGCAGTAATTTTTCTTTTAATAAATTGTCAATGTTCATACAATTTGTTCACAGCACGTTCAGCACTTCGAGACGTCTGTTGAATATGTTGCTGTAGTTCCTGAAAAGTACAACAAAAAACAAAGCAAAATTTAAGATTTTAATAACTGAAACATGTATATATAATAATAATAATAATAATAATGATGATATGCTAAAACTTGAAGGAGGAATTTACTTTATCACTTGTAATAATTGCCACAAGGAATGTATAAGAATTTAAATAAGAGATTATCATCATCATCATCCTCTTGACTCTTTTAATTGTAGCGGGGGGGGGGATGTCCGAATGCAGAAGCCATATTGAATCTCCTCCACAATGGTCTATCAATGGCAGCCATCAGCAATTCTGGTATAGCCTTACCTGTACATTGTTTGACATTGTCCAACCAGTTTTTGCAGTGGCATACTCTCTTACATCCACCTTCAACAGTGCCTTGCATGATAGTCTTGCACAGGCTGTTGTGTTTTATAACATGTCCTAACATGTCCAACCCACGCCATTTTTCTCCATTTGACAGTGGCAAGAAGAGGTGGCCCGCAAAACTTTCAACCATTTTCCGTACAAACTCAATGGTTTTATGTTCTCAATAGAAAATGCCAAGGAGTTTTCTCATGCATTTGTTCTCAAACGCTTGGATCCTTCTCACTGTTTCTGTCAACAGTATCCATGTTTCACATCCATATAAGAGAATGGAGACTACCAGCAATTTATACAGTCTGTTCTTCATTTGAAAGCTTATTTTGCTAAGAAATTATATGAACACCAAAAGTATCTTTAACAAAACAATACACTAAATTTTTTTTTAATCATTTCACCTGAAGCAAGAAAATAAAGTCATGAAAAAATCACTATTAAGAAGAGAAAATAATAAAAGAACAAGAATTAAAACGACAGTAGATAACGTTATATTTTCATTTAAATTTTTGAAGATCAAACTTGACTAGGAAGCAAGAAGCCAGGAGAGAGTTCCACAAGCAAGAAGTGCAATAGAAGAAACTCTTAGCATAGAACTTACGGTTTCATTTAGCTATTTCAACTGTAAAATGATGAGACATTGCCACCAATCTAGTATAGTGCCATAAAGTCTAGTTACCAAAGATGAAAATTTATCAAAACAATTACCATGAAAGTATTTATAGAAAAGGCACAGAGACTCTATGTTATGGCAGTGGAAAAGTGATAGAAGCCAAGATGCCAGGTCAGGATCAATAACATTGCAGATTCTTCTTTGGATTTTATCAAGAATCCCTAAATATATAGTAGTAGCACCAGACCTGATGTGGCAGCAATATTCAAAGCAAGGATGAATGTCTAAGATAGATTCTAGTGAGAAAAATTCTCTAGCCCAACATAGTGAACCAGCTTCGTTAGTTGCAGACTTAGAACTCTTTATACACTTTCTTCTTAGTAAGTTGTTTTCTTCTCTTAATTAAAGTAGCATTTTAAATAAAAGATGATACAAAACACAAAAGGGATCTTTTACAAACCAAAAATATTCTTAGGAGGTCCACTCCGTTAAGCTGACCTTATTTGACAAGACAATAACTGTTGAAACAATTTCTGTAACATCTTATCTTTAACAAGATATTGGCTGACACTGATATGAGGGGTTTATTTTTCAAAAATGTCCAAAGCAAAACTAAAAATTTAATTTTGATATGTTAATGGTGATATTAGCCATTTCCCGATAAGGAAATATTTGGCATTCCAAAGCAGCCACAACTGTTTTCATTTCAAATTTTATAAAATCTTTCTTTTGAAGCTCATTTTTAAGAAAACAGGTTTCTCTATACCAGTAACTGTTATTTCTCTTTCCAGTATTGATGGGGGTTCCTTTCTAATCTTTTATTTCAAGTGGTGTGGAAGGTTAACATCTTGATTATGTCATTATTTTCACTTTGATTTACATATGCTATCCATTTTAGTCGTTGCTGCTGTTGGTAGTCCTCAAGTATTGTATAGTTATGGTTAATTACAAATTATCAGCTTGTTAATTATTAACTAATAATCTTGTAGATAAACAATCGAAAAAATTGAGAAAAAAATGTATAAATTCAGTTTCGTGTAGTTTTGCCAATGAATCCAGGACATTTGAATCTGGAATCCTAAACATGGCTTCTCCAGACACAGGAATATCTCCATATTATATGTAAGACCTTTCCTTTTTGTTTCTCCTTACACTCTGCTTTGCCATGTAAATATATGAGATATATTTTTCACTGTGTGGGTAGGACACATTTATATATATGTATATATAGTTTTGTGTATGTCTTAGTGGTAAACAAAAATCTCTCTGAGAAGATAGCATGTTTGTCATTCCTTTTCCTTTCAGCTATTCCGTTCCAATGTCGTGAATATGACAATAAAGATAAGGATAACAATCTGAACAATGTAAATAGTGGAGATAGTAACAGTACCTCATCTCAGAAATATAGACAGATCCTGAAGAAGGCCAAAGCATACAAAAGGCGAAATGCCGTGAATATGACAATAAAGATGAGGACAACAATCCAAACAATGTAAATAGTGTAGATAGTAACAGTACCTCATCTCAGAAATATAGGCAAGTCCTGAAGAAGGCCGAAGAGTACAAAAGCCAAAACATTGTGAATATGACAATAAAGATGAAGACAACAATCCAAACAATGCAAATAGTGGAGATAGTACCTCATCTCAGAAATATAGACAAATATCTTTGTTGACCAGTGCTGTCAAGCTCTGTGAAACCATTCTACGCAAGATGACACTCAGACAATTGATATATATTTGAACTTGAAATATTGCATTCCTAAAAGGACACTGATAGCACTAACATTCCTGATAATGACCAGAAATGGTTGAAAGTTCTCAAACTGTACCAGAGCAATGACCCTATTTAAACATTTAATTGCACAAAATTACAGGATGGAGATTTGGAGAGGCTATGAATTGGATAATAATTTTTTTAAATTCTCAGGAGATCAGGTTTAATGGTTGAGAAAAAAATGAAATAACAGGTTTAAAATTAAGTTTTAAAAAATTAAATTTAAGAAAAGTTTCAGGGAGAAATGAATGCAGAATTACCTATCAAAAATCAGTAATACTGAGGAAAACCAAGATCCCCATTCCTATCCACTTCCCACCAATAAGAAGAACACATGATTAATGTGTTGTCTGAGTTTCCTTGGGTCAGAGAAATTAAATTCAGGAGTTTGTTTACATTATACTGTCTGTCCAAAACATATATGTTCTTACAAATTATTCTGGACAGAGAAGAATTTTGTTTAATTCCCAAGCTTGGGATTTGTTTATGTTGAGCACCCAAGAACATCATTATCTTTACAGAAACATATACAGGAAATTCTAAAAAACAAAAGCAAAGGCCATGTGTTATTAACAAAATCTCGTAAGATTAAGACAGTCAGAGTAGAGAAATTAGATATATCAATGTCAAATTTGGTGAGGGGAGATCTATATGAATTAGAACTCCCCAGACCAAAAGACAGACACATGGAGACTGGCCCAACAAAGAAAGTTGGTTGCCAGAGATTTACTCTGGTCACATTTCCCAAGGCCAAAGTAAAAGCAAACACAGATGGAGATGGCACCAGGAGAAATCATCTTAGAAAAGCCTAGGATTGCTAGTAAGACAGTAATCACTAAAAAACACGCCTAGATTTCCTGTGGCTGGAGCAGAAACACAGTCACACACACGAGAGAAGAATTGAATGAGAGTCAACTGGATGGTTATTACTTTGAAGAACTGAATGAGAATAGGATGGGTGGTTATTACTTTAGTGTTTATTACTAGATTTAATCCTGCAGTAGAGAATAGAGACATTTTATAAACCTGTTGCTAGAGTTATCAACAGTGTTGTGCATTGTATTGAATAAGTTCTTATTCCAGTCTGATTCTCAAAGTAGTGCTAAGACACGAAGAGACAAATGTTACCATGGCCACAAACAGGAATTACGGAATCTTGTCTGTGGTACACAACATAAACAGAGGGCTACACAGTAGACTTCACCATCAATCCTCAATTTTGTAGAGATTTTTAGAAACACAATTTATTCCTGCCTCATAAACAAATCTAGTGTCACTGACAAAACTAACCTGGCCGTGCGTCTTGAAAAGAACCTCCAATCAGTTGTGAACTGGGGCAGGAATTGGCTGGTCTACTTTAATGCTTAAAAAACAAAACTGCTCTCTATTAATCACCACAGACATCCTTCCCTGCCCTCCATTAGAATGTTTGACGCTCAACTTCTCGAGAGCAACTCTCTGCGGCTGCTCGGTCTCACGTTGACTGGCTGACCTGAGATGGAACAAATACATTGAGTCAATTGCTTAGTCCACCGCAAGGAAAGTTGGCTCCCTGTGCCGCGCCAGGAAATTTTTCTCCCTGGAATTGATCCACCAGATCTACAAATCAACAATTCGCCCTTGCATGGAGTATTGCTGCCATATATGATCTGGAGCCCCTTCTGTTTGCCTCGAGGTTCTTGATAGGCTCCAGAGACGGATATGCAATATAATTGGCCCTGCTCTGGCATCTTGGCTACAGTCACTTTCTCACAGATGCGTCATCGTCTCTCTCTGTCTGTTTTACAAATACTTTCATGGCAATTGCTCCGAGGAGCTGCATTTGCTGGTTCCCAGACTTCATGAATTCAAACGCACTACGAGGCTGGCATCCCGCTCTCACCCCTTCACTGTCGAAACTCCTAAATGTAGCCGTCTCTTCTACTCCAATAGCTTCATGTCTTGCACCTCTCGCCTGTGGAACTCCCTTCCCTATTCCAGTTTCCCTGAGAGCTATAATCTCCAGCTATTCAAATGTAATGTCAATCGACATCTCCAGTTGCCTTGATCTATCCACTATCATTCTCCTCATCCTTTCTTCTATAACTCCTATCTGATCTTGCTCCAAATTTTCTGTAACCCCTTGCGTCCTAGTGGCTTCCCGCCTTGCTTGGGGTGAAACGCTTAAAAAAAAACAAAAAAAACACCTGAGATGACATACCAGCACTAACTGGGAAAAGAAAGTCAGATGCCCTATATGGTCTGTATTAATCAACAAAACTAACAATTGAGTGAAAGGAAGAAGACAAAGAGACAGAGATGGAAAAGAGTGAGTGGTGTGTGTGTGTTGGAAAGTGTATAAGGATTACAAGACAAAATCTTGAACTCTGGATAGCTTATCCATAAATCTGTTGTATCCCTCCAGAATGTTGATAATCATGGCTTTCCACAATTTCCTGTCATTTGTAGCTCTTAATAACTTTTGTCTTTTTGCCATCTCTCCTAAACCTTGTTCTGACAACCGTTTACACAAGCTTGTTCCTGTTATTCTTTTGTGTGCCATGTCCTTTCAGGGTGTTAGTGATCATGGCTCTCCATAACTTCCTGTCATTTGTAGCTCTTAATAACTTTTGTCTTTTTTTACCATCTCTCCTAAATCATGTTCTGTTATCCATTTACACAAGCTTGTTCCTGTTTATCTTATACTTCTATGTGCTATGCCCTTTCAGGGCATTGGTGTTCATGGCTCTCCCCAATTTCCTGTCCTTTGTAGTTCTTAATAAGTTTGTCTTTCTGCCATCTTTCTCAAACTCTGTTCTGCCATCTATTCACTCAAGCTCGCCAGGTAGGTTGTACGATGCTTTCCTCTGGACCTCTTACTTTTAATCTGTCCTGTGAGTATCAAATTTTCCAAACCCTCTTTCCTCATTATGTGCCCCCAAAATTTTAACTGTCACTTTCTGATGTTAAGCATAAGTGTCCTCTTTGTTTCCATTGTTTCTAAAACTTTGTCTTTGCTCACATTATCAGTCAATGGTATTCTTAGCATCCTTCGGTTGCTTCAAGTCTCTTCTTCATCTGTGAGGAGATTGTCCAGCATTCACTGCCATATAGGAGGATTGATATTACGTAACAGTTCAGTACTCTTTTCTTTGTTTCTGTTGCTTCAAGTCTCTTCTTCATCTGTGAGGAGATTGTCCAGCATTCACTGCCATATAGGAGGACTGATATTACGTAACATTTCAGTACTCTTATCTGTGTTTCTGTTGCTTCAAGTCTCTTCTTCATCTGTGAGGAGATTGTCCATCTTTCACTGCCATATAGGAGGACTGATATTACGTAACATTTCAGTACTCTTTTCTTTGTTTCTGTTTCTTCAAGTCTCTTCTTCATCTGTGAGGAGATTGTCCAGCATTCACTGCCATATAGGAGGACTGATATTACGTAACAGTTCAGTACTCTTTTCTTTGTTTCTGTTTCTTCAAGTCTGTTTTTCATCTGTGAGGAGATTGTCCAGCATTCACTGCCATATAGAAGGACTAATATTACATAACAGTTCAGTACTCTTTTCTTTGCTTCTAATGATCTTTTTCTGTTTCTTAATACTTTGCTCAGATTTTAGACGCTCTCTTTCACTATCCCAAAGTAGCTCCGGATTTCCATGTTACACTTTCTATACTCTGTTAACATACTTTCCAGATATCTAAATTATTGCACCTGTTTGATCTTGTCATCTCCATTCTGTAATTTGCATGTTGGGTTGCTCCTTTTGCTAACGACCAAATATTCAGTCTTCTTGCAATTGGTGTTTCTTCCTTTCTTCTCAATTTTCTTCAATACCTTCTGTAGGAGTCATTGTGGTTTCCTTTCTGTAGTCTGAGCAAGAAGTGATAAAAAAAATTTCATGTTGGGTTATTTGGTATCTGTCTATATTTCTGGAGAGGGGAATTAACAGATAACTGACATCCATTCGACATAGCACGTAGAACTAGAACAGTCTACCCCAGTGAGAGAAATAAAGGATTCACTTTGACATTCCAACCACCTGAAGAAGGCCAGAGCGTACAATGGCCTAAACGTGATAAATATGGCAACAAAAAGGAGGACAATAGTTCAAATAATGTAAATTGGGTTATTTGGTCAGATATTGGGATGCAGACACAGTAATCAACAGTACCCCCACACACACATTTTAGCCACTCACCTCATCTTTTTGGGCTTTCAATGCATCAATGGCTGCCTCTTTGAACTGAGAATCTTTGGAAGGATCGGCCGCTGTTTGAGGATCTGCAGATTTCTACCAATGGAACAACACAGAAAGTAAATTATTAGTATTTTTATTAATAATCAAAATGTCTGGTGTAACTTCTCCAGTATTCTGAAACACTTCTAGAAGAGCACAATTTCCAGAAAAAAAGGAAACGACATAACATTTAACAATGTGTATGTCTCTCTTTTTCAAATTATAAATAAAAAGAAAAATGCATACAAGTACAAAAACAAAGGTCTAAATAAATTATCAATAAAAAAGTACAAATCTGATTTTCAAACAGAAGAGTTCCATAAGATTTATACTAAGCTGTTTGATTAACTCCCCTTAGTAACTAATTAATTAATGGAAAATTCCATATTATGCACCTTTCGTTTGCATGCCTTCATGCTGGCAGTGTTTCAGTCATTTTGACATGTTGATTACCAGTACAGCGATTTTTCTTCAGACAAACAATGTTTGTACAAAGACTTATAATTTTTTGGCAGATTTTTTTATATTTCTATACTTGTATACAATTTTTAAACACAACTTGAAGATATGTCTATTGTTGAAATAGTGTTGAATATTGTCAAACACTGTCTCTTCTTTTTCTTAAATCACACTCTTCTCTAAGTGTTGTATTAATAATATTAACAACAAAGATTGTCTCTCGCAAAAAAATGAATAAAAATATAGTCGACTAGTGTCTTTTAGGAAGATAAATCTTTTAAGGCCATAGTGTTGAAATCATAGGAATCAGTGCTGGGTGTGTGTATGTATACCTATGCACACACACATTCTGATTCAGTACAAAAACAATTGCACACATATACACATTCGCTCTGATACTCTAAATTTAAACTGGCAGAGATAATGGTCATTATGGAATGTAAGTGGTAATCTTTAGAACTGCTTTCTTTAGCCCAGGTATGGGCAGAGGCTAAATCTGCCTCCCTTTACGTTCTTGGAATATGTCCTCGCCTGGGACATAGATGAATCCAGGACGTTTGAATCTAGAATGGTTTCTCCAGTCACAAGAGTATCTCCATTAAGAACTTTCCTTTTTGTTTCTCCTTACAATCTGCTTGCTGTGTAGATATACATGATATATTTTTCTCAGTGGGGAACACATGTATATATATATATATATATATATATATATATATATATATAGTTTGTGCATGTCTTAGTGGTAAAAAAATCTCTCTGAGAAGAAAGCATTTTTGTCATTCCTTTTCCTTCCAGCCATTCCGTTCCATCCATAAACTACAGTGTTATTATATTCCAGATATAATAATGCTCATAATGGGGGAAATACAGATCAGAGAATAAATCTTTCTCCCATTATACCATATCCCATAAGTAAAAATAGCCTAAAAACAGCTAGCCAGTAATTCTGTTGGTTGAAATTCATGAAATCTTTCTCTTAAAACTCTTTTTTTAGGAAAACTAGTTTCTCAAGTCCAGTAGCTGTTATTGCTCTTTCCAGTATTGATGGGGGGTTCTTCCTGACCTTTTATTTCAAGTGGTGTAGAAATGTAACATCTTGATTATGTCATTATTTTCTCTTTGATTTACATCTGCTATCCATTTTAGTCATTGCTGTTGCTTGTAGTCCTCAAGTAGTGTATAGTTATGGTTAATTATTAATTATTAACTAATAAGCATGTAGATAATCAAAAAATTGAGAAAAAATGTATAAATTCATTTTCTTATGGTTCTATCAAAGTTCTAAAATTAAGTTTTGAAAACAATAAAAATTATCACGTGATAGTGGTATGAAGAGAAAAACATCCTTTTGACACTTCTATGAGCCTTGTCCCTTCAGGACATTGGTGATTAAAGCTCTCCACAATTTCCAGGAAAACAGTTTTCTCAAGTAGTTGTTATCACTCTTTCCAGTATTGTTGGGGGTTTCCTTCCTAACCTTTTGTTTGAAGTTGTGTGGAACGTCAACATCTTCATTATGTTATTATTCTCTCTTCAAGTTACATGTGCTATCCATTTTAGTTGTCGCTGCTGTTTTTAGTCTTCAAGTGATATGCTTTCTCTTATTTGCTACACTTATTTATGATTCTGTAGCACCAGTCTAAGATGTTCAAAGAAGGATGAACATTGCTAAAACCCATAGGCTTCACTTGCTCAAAGTCCTTTTTAACCATTAATCTTAGAATGCAACATTATTATTATTATTATTATTATAATATTGCAGATAGAACAATTTTACAAAAATACGTCAATTAGAATAAACAAACCTCTTGGGGGAAATACTTTGTATATGCATATTCCCAACGTTCAAGTGGACATCTGCAAGAGAATAAATTAAATTAAAATAAGATAAAGCTGTGTTTTATTTTATGACTGTAAAAGAATGTTCTAAGAGAACTAGAAGTCCTACCAGGATTTATTATTGGTGGACACAATCTTAACAACATAAGATATGCAAACGATACAGTCTTGATAGCAGGCATAGAAAGAAAACTGCAGGAATTCCTACAGAAGTGACACGTCATAAGAGAACTACAAGTCCTACCAAGATTTATTATTGGTGAGTACAATCTTAACAACATAAGATATGCAGATATGACACAGTGTTGATAGTAGACATGGGAAGAGAACTACAAAACAACAACAGGAGGTAGTGAAGGAAAGCAAGAAGAAAGAACTAAGTATCAATTGTATGAAGCCAAAATGTATGGTTGTCATTAAAAGAGAGAGCACAAAATGCAAATTATAAATAGGAGATACCAAAATCAAACAAGTCCAACAATTTCAATATCTCAGAAGTGTTTTAACAGAAGATGAAAAGTGTGACACTGAAGTTTAAAGACGCTTTGGGATAGCCAAAGATGCATTTCAAAAGCTAAGCAAAGTATTAAGAAACAGAAATATTTCATCAGCAACAAAGAAAAGAGTAATGAATTCTTAGCTGATAGATATTAGTCCTCCTATATGGTAGTGAATGAGGGACAAACTCCTCACAGATGAAGGAGAGACATGAAGCAACAGAAATATTGTTCTACAGAAGGATGCTGAGGATACCATGGACCAAATATGTGAGCAACGATGAAGTTTTAGAGAAAATGGAAACAAAAAGGAAACATACTTAACATCAGGAAGAGATAGTTTAAACTTCTAGGGTTCTGTTATGCTGTTGATTTGGGGTTAGTAGAGACAACGCCAAATAACACGTAACAATAAAAAGGGTTTTAATAGGTTGGTAAAAAGGTACAGAAATCGCCTGAGTAGTCAATAACTAGCTCAGCTAAGAACTTCTCTGTCTATCTGTCTTTTTTCCATGTCAACTGACATGCCACTATTTAAAGTCTTTGTTTGCAGACGCAGACAAGTTCATCTTCAAGAGGGGTGGGTAGGTTTCTGATACAACAGGTTCATAATGAGGAAAGAAGACTTAGAAAATTTGATATTCACAAGACATATTGAAGGCAAGAGAGACAGAAGAAAACAGCACGTACCCTATGTAACGAGCTTGTATAAATGGTTGGCTGAACACAGATTAGGAGATATTGCAAAAGGACAAAATTTTCTAAGAGCTACAAAAGACAGAGAATTGTGAACAATGATCGCCCACGTCCTGAAGGGACCAGACAAGAAGAAGAAGAATATGAAATCAATAAACATTAAAAAAAAAAGTATGAGAGATGCCGAAAAGTTCTCAGCCTGGGATATTTCAGAAAATCTGACCAAAAATCAGAACTTTAGTGATTGGTCTAAGAACTTGTCGGCCACTGGCCTGTATGAGCTTCCTCTTAGAAATTGCAACATAACAGCTTCTTTGATGAAATCAACCTGATTTTCAAAAAGACAAAGATACAACAACAACTACTATGGGTAAAATAGCAGGACAGACTGGGTTCTATAGCCTTGGATGGCAACTGGTCTAGGAGAAGGACAACTCTGAATTCAAAACCTGCAGAGGGTCATTTGGGGACCTTGTAGCATAGTGCACCAGGTTTCTGTATTCGTCCCTTCAAAAAGTGTGGACGGTCCTGCACGAAACCTTCACCACTATAATCAAATCTCATGTGCCGTTGTTGGGCTGTCAGTTTCCTAGGAACTGATCTGCTTGACCCTCATACATTGAATCTCGATGGGAGAGTAGACTATATATATATATATATATATATATATATATATATATATATAATTATAATTATTTATTTAAAAATATGATTCCAACTTGCGACATAAGAGGTCTCATGTTTCAAAACAAGAACCTTCAATATAATTATTTGAATTAAATTGAGTTAAAGTAAGCTCTGTTCCATCTTTAAGCAAAATTTTTTTTGGAATGATGTATTTCTGAAATTTACGTGTTTTAATAATTGAAATCAAAATTTCCATGGTAACAGCCTAGGGCGAATTGTTTAAATTGGGTAGGCATGTGTTGGGTGTTAATAAGTATCCGTATAGAGTTACTTTCATAGATGTCAAGTCAGGGTAAGGTGGGGGTGTCTAAATTTGAAACGGAAGATGTTTTAGCCTAGTCTGGTTTACGTGTCTATGGAGATTTATTTATTTTTTTAATTTTCTTTCTTTATGAAAGGGATTTGTGCATATAAAAAAACTACCATAACATTTATTTTTTGACGACTTCATAAAGGGTTATCTTTTTTGCAGGGTATTTAAACTATTTATTTGGGCTATGGATTATAAAAGTTATTATATTGTATGCTTGTTTTTAGCTAATTATTCAAACCATGAATTTGATGATGTCAACAAAAAACCGCTAACTCATGTCTATTGTTTAATAGATTATTATTATTTAGAAACTTAATAATGTGCAGTTTCTCATGGAGGCACAAAGGGCATGGGTCATCCCAAGTTTTACATGTTCTAGCCCTGTTTATAATTTTCCATTTTATTTGAACTTTGGATTATTTACCTAACCAGTTCTTTCCTATTTTCTATATATTTTTTATATATATATATATATATATATATATATATATGTGTGTGTGTGTGTGTGTGTGTGTGTGTGTGTGTGTGCATGCATGTATATATATATATATATATATATATACTGTGTACTAGGGGCAGCAGATCATTATTTAAACATATATTGTTAAATATAACAAATGGATGTCTATTATGCCTGACCATGTGCCATACTAAACTTCGTCTAGTTGCTTTAATTTCAGGTGAAAATAAAGACAAAAATTGGATATTTTTTATTAAGTTGGTCCTTAATTTAAGCTTTCGACTCACATGATCCATCTTCAGGGTGGTTATAGACATTTAAACAAAGGTATTCAGCATTGAAGATGATATTTTATTATGATGATATAGACATTTGCTATGTAACAATAACGGTTGCAGAATAGCAGATGCAGTTCTATGACGTCATACCACATGAGAGGCCGAAATATTAATAACAGATGTTATTAATATTTATATATTTAATACATATAATTATATATTTAATAGATGTTATTAATATTAATTAATAATATGTCTAGATGCAATGTAATGTGTCATGACTAGTTTGAAATGTAATTTTGTTAGATATTCATTGTCTGTTATATTTAACTATATATATATATATATATATGTGTGTGTGTGTGTGTGTGTGTTACTATTATATTTTTACTATAAGAGAATATAATAAAAACATTTTAAGAATCTCTTAAAACATTTTATAATCTCTTATAATAAAAATCTAATAATAATATTTTGGTCTACTTTGTATTAAGCACGTTTTTAAAAGTAAATGCTACGAACTGTGGATTTTTACTCTATTTGTTCTTTCTCTCATTTGGATATATATATATATGTGTGTGTGGGTGTGTGTGTGTGTCTATATATATATATATATATATATAGCTGGTGTAACAGCAAAATTGTACAATTGTTCGATTAAGATTTGAAGCATTCTATCTTAGAAATGATTAAAGGTATCTTACTGGAATTCTTTGAGGTTTTTATAATACTATTGGGCTCTACTTTGAGCAATAAAAATGTATAATTACTCCTCAAGCTTAACAGAAGTACCATGATGAAATTGATGAGAAACAAAAATGACATGTTCATTATTAATTAATCATAGTTAAGGAACAGAAGCTTATGAAGTATTGAAATAAAGTTCAAATATATATATATATATATTATGCAGGATCATTTTCCTTCTTATTCAAGATGATCTTCACCCTCTAACCTCCTGTCTTGGAGTAAGAAGGTGCCTCACAGTTTTCACATATGATTTCATTTTCAAGTCTTTTTCACTGCTCTTTAGACTGTCATAGCTGAAACTCTTCTCTCACATGCCAAATGTCTTACGAATTGAGTTGGATCTTTTCTAATTGATCTCTTTAGCTCTAAGTTGAAATGATGATCCCTCTTCCTGTTGTGACCTCATGATCCGATTTTCTTCTCTACTGTTCCCACTTTTTTAAAACTTATTCACTGTTCTCTTGATGGTTCTTGAATGGACTTTGAAGGTGAAAGCCAGAGTATGAATTTTGGCATTGTTACTGAAGGCCTGAATGATCTTTTTCCTCTCACCATTGCTCAGTTGGGAAGACATGATGGGTCTGACACAAAACAATTTTAACCTGCTCTATCTTTAGCTGAATAACTGAAAGTGTTTTTCAGTGATTCTTACAAAAAATGGTGTCAATATGGCTAAGCGTCTTATCTGAAAACCTGGAAAAAGAAACTGTTATGCTGTTACATGATTTGGACAATTTTGATGTTACACTGGTATATATATATATATATATATATATATATATATATATATATATATATATATATATATGTGGGGGGTGCGTGTGTGGAGGCATGGTGGATTAGTGGATAGCGGCTCAGATTGAGGAAATGGAGAGCCAAGTTCAAATTCCAGTCAAATCCATTACAATCACTTACATACTAATAACCTTGGGAAAGGTATTAATCCTCCTCTTCTCCCCCCAGCTATGGGTAAATAGCAGGATAGCCTGGGTTCTATAGCCTTGGATAGCAACTGGTTTAGGAGAAGGACATCACTGAATTCAACACCTGCAGAGGGTCATTTGGAGACCTTGTGGCATGAAGTGCACCAGGTCTCTGTATTTGGCCCTTCAGAAAGTGTGGTTAGTTCTGCACAAAGCCTTCACAACAATAATTGAATCATATGTGCTGGTGTCTGGGCTGTTGGTTCCTAGGAACTGAGCTGCTTGACCCTCATACACTGAACACGATGGGAGAGTCCACCATATGATATATATATTAAATAATAGTAGTAATAAAAATAAAAGTAATAAAATGCTAATTGAAAGGAACTATGTTTAATATCTGCAAGTGCTGGA